GCTCTACCATTTGCTTGCTCGCATTTTCTAGGCAGTCCTTCTTGACGCTCTCGGTTATGTCCCTGAACTTCAAATCTGGATCCTTCTCTCGCAAATAAATTACTGAAAACAAAACCATCTCAACCCCAGACTGTATTTCTGTGGCTTTATTAATGCCGATATCCACGAAACGACAAGAGGTTCCTTAACCAGAAAGGTCGGAAGACGTCCTGCTCATCATTTGATCTCTTGTTCTGCCTCAGACTCACACTTTCGCATGTATGTCAGCCTCATATACTGTTGCTGTAGCACTAACTCTAAGGTCTCGAATATAGCGATAGTTTGATTGCATTAGATGTTACAGTTGAGTAGCTGTTAGAAGCATGAACCCCGTTAATGATAGTATATAATATTGACCGTAGATTGACCGATCGTCTCTAGAGAGGGAGATGAGGCGACACGGATAACAATGAATCAATTCTTTTCACAATTTCCCTTACGCACTAATGAGTATAAAAGTAGAGAACGAGAAAGCATATTGGGAAATGGAAGAGAGACCACAATCATTTGCTGGAAAGCGAAGAAAGACTGAACAAAGCAAAAAATGACCAAAAATGACTGTTGGATGATTAAGGTGCAGATGTGATGACTGAGAAAGAACAAGTAGAAGCATCGTAAGAAATCCATCGATTCTGCTGTAGATGTGGTCAGAAGCGACAAACAAAACTCCACGTATCGACTTACTTTCGCAATCGCGTAGCCCAACCTAAGCACCCTACTGATACGATTCCTAGTGGTGCTCGCCGATTCGAGATATCTCTCTTCCTCATTGCGCTCCCTGGCAAACCAATTCTCGGGGAAATATCCGTGCGCCCAGATCAAGCCTCTGGTGAGGTAATCCTCGGGGAGTGGCAGCTCGTCTGGCCTCTCATCGTCTGCTGGAAACAGGGCTGTAGAAAGCAAGGTGTTGATGTTTTCTGAGTTGCTAGTGTTCGTCTGGGAGTGAGATTGAGATTCTGTTTCCAATAACTTATTAAGGAAAGTGACGAGATCGGACCAGGGCGTGTCTTTGATGAGGTCAAAAATGTATGCGCAGGAAGAGAATGATGAAAGGGAAGTAAGAAAGGCGAGCATGATGTTGATGTGCAACAGAACGTTCTTGTCGCCGAGCCTGCGGAGGGCGAGAGCAAAGGTGGCGTTAGAGAGGAGCTGGGCATTTTTGAATGTTTGTTGCGCAGCGAGCTGTTCTAGCTTTTTTTGAATCTGGCTTAGGGTGACGGAAGGTTTAATCGGGTCCTGCTGCTCTATTGCAGATGCTGTACGTGACTTCTCTTCTGGAGCAGTAGAAGGTGGATTTTTGGCTCTCTCTGAAAGCTGGATGAGAAAAGCTTGGCGGAGAGCATTGTCATCAACTCCATAGTCAAACCAACCTGCAATGTTCGTAACGGCGACCCATACGCCTCGATCCTTCCATTCCGCCGTAACTCGACCGATATAGTTATCCAAGCTGTCCAGGAACTCGGCCTTGGCCATTAAGAATTCTTCCGATGCCCTGTCGTCCTTGACCGAACGTCCCAGAAACTGTAAACCATGGGGCTTGATGAAGCTGATGTCGATGGGAAGAGCGTGCGGAAGACTAGCGGCGTTGTGATCAACGACGGGATCTAGAAGAGTCCGGATTGACTCGCGCGCACCTGCAAAGCGCTTGACGCAAGTCAAAGACCGGGAATAGTAGTAGATCTGCTGGAGAGCATCGGGTCTCGCCAGAATCGCCAAATGGTGGTATAGACGCCCAACA